CCAGCTGCTCCAGGCACTGCGTGTGTTACGACTGGGCAGCGTGTAACTCCAGCTGAAAGTGCCTGACAGCAAATAGTGTAAAATAACATAGATCACACCAGATGTTCTTAAGACACACCAGCTCCTGCAACTGCATCTGCTGGGTATACACCCGTCTGGATTATCCAGAGGATTTTCTGGGAAGCTCCTTCCTGTGCCCAGGCCCAGGGATGCCTGTGAGAGCTGCCGTGCAGGTATGGATCCTGCTGCGGGGATAGGTGCTGCTCAGCCTCCCCTCGGCTGAGCTCTCCAGAGGCCATGGCATCAGCCAGAGGTTACGTATTTCCCATGTAACGCTGATCTCTGGCTACTGCTCTGAGCGCTCCAGCAGCACAGCTGGAACAGAAACGATGCTCAGAGCTGCCGGCGCCGGCCCGGGGAGTCACAGCCAGAGGGAGGTGGAGGCATCCATGCCCCGTTGCTCTGAGACAGTGTGGGTTTAAAACGCCAAGGGCTTTAATTCTCTTTTTGTAAAATTGGGCTAATATTCATTAAAAGTCACGAGGGTAAAAGCTACTCACCGTGCTTCCAGCCAGGGGGTGAGGTTCAGGGCGCGTGGAAGTAACAACACGAGCATCACTGGGGTATGATGGGTGAGGCAGATTTTTTTGGTACCAAATTTTGAGTTTACTTCTCAAGCTGGCATTGACCTCCTCAAGGCCCCACAGGGTTTTTGCAAACGATACAAACTGTATGGAAGCCCATCAGGAAACATCAGCTCAAGGGCTCAGAGAACTGCTAACAGCCCCATGGGGAAACATGCTGATCAACGCCAGCGGGGCAGGACCAGCTGCCTTCAAACCTGCAAAGGGACCCACAGCATCAGCAGCTGCTGCAGCCACCTTCCCCCCCAGCTTCCCCACACCTCATCCTTGCCTGTCAGTAGATGAGGAGGGAGCTCCCCAGCTACAGCAGACCCAAGATGGAAAGGAGGTTCTCCAGGGTATTTAGGTATCTAATGACTGCTACTTTAAATAGGGCTTTTGCAAATGTCATTTGACACAAACTTACATAAATGCTGAATATCTATTAACTCAAAATTTGACATGTAAGTGCTATTTTTCCAGTATATTTTATTTTTGGCAAGACATACAATAGGACATGATTTTCTGCCTGTGCGTGCCTCCATCAAAAGTGCTTTTCTAAAATGAATGAAGCTTTCTGGTAAAGTGCTTTTGACCTATTTCATCACCAATTTTAACATGTTGCCAAGAAATAACATGCAGCCAAACTTTTCCTGTTTATTTGTGAAGCTGTGATATAAAGTGTAGAGTTAGGGAATCTTTTAAAACTTGAACTGTTTCATAGAATCATAGAATGGTTTGGGTCAGAAGGGACCTTCAAGATCATCTAATCCCACCCCCCCAGGCCATGGGCAGGGCCCCCCTCCACTAGACCAGGTTGCTCAAAGCCTCATCCAACCTGGCCTTGAACACTTCCAGCGATGGGCCAGCCACAACTTCTCTGGGAAACCTGTTTCAGTGCTTCACCACCCTCAGAGTGAAAAATTTCTTCCTTATCTCTAATCTAAATCTCCCCTCTTTCAGTTTAAAGCCATTGCCCCTTGTCCTATCACTGTACGCCCTTGTCAAAAGTCCCTCTTTAATGGATGAATCTCCAGTTATTTCCTACATGGGCTGCTCACACACAGGTCAGGGAGAACATAGCAAAAATTTGATTCATAAAGCCTCTACATGACTTTTTTCAGTCAGAACTGGCAAAATCTGTTCCCACAGGGAAGAGTTACCAGAAATGCAGCCTATGGATTGACAGCACAAAAGAAATCTTCCTGGGGGGCTACCCTGTTCACCAACCACACTTAATGAACAGCCCAGCACTCGCAAGGGCTCTTGTCTTCCCTGCATGGAAAACAGATCTCAAAAGCCACATCCAGACCTAAAATGATTTTAGGAGGGACACCCGTGCTCTTTCAGATAGGGAAGGCCTTGGGGAGAAGATTGCAGGAACATGAGGTGCTCCAGAAACACCCTGGGAAACAGAGGAGACACACTTCGTTGCTGCTAGGAAGTATTTGCCAGGATAGTCACCCACTGCGAGCCCCGGGCAGTTGCGGCAGGTGGGACAGACGCACGGGGAACCTCACCCCGTGTTACTGCCAGGGACAAATTCGTGACTGCTTATCTCGGACTGACTTCAGTTGGGTGTTCTTTGGGAAAAAATGCTATTGAAATCTTGATTGTGCTTCCCCCCCCCCCGCCCCCTCACCCTTTCTTACAGCTTGGGCGATAACCCTGGAGGCAAACAATGCCGGATTCACCCATCGCTGCTGAGGGGGATGTGTGCATCTTTCTGGAGGCATTTGGCAATAGTCGATTTTATGGTGCAGAAGGGAAGTTTATTCAGGTGATTTTTTTTTTCTTGTTTTCCCTATAAAAGCAGTTCATTATGCACCGGTACCAGTCTGAAGAAGCAGACCCTATTCACCCTCTGGAGTCAACGCATGTCAGTAAGTGTGATTCCACTGGCTTTAGCGTTTCTGTATGGAAAACTTTTGGCTCTGGGGGAAGCAAAACTAAGGGCTGGTACGGTGCCAGCTGCACGAGTGACAGCTACAGTCGGTGTTAAATACTTGCATGTTTCCTGCTGGATCTGAAATAGTTTCCTGCTTGTGCAAGAGTCACAGGAGGGTGGCTGCCCCTTTTTAATAAAAATACATATATTTTGCTAGATTTGGCCAAATGTTTGATGACTTGCAGAAACAAGTCCATTTCTGCAGTGAGAAGGGAGGAAGAAGTCCTGCCCTCCCTCCCAATGAGCAGCCAGTCTCCTCCTTTCTGACTTTTGTGACCCCAGATTAAATGGTTTAAATTCTGTTCTATACACAAAGTTGTGGCAATTTCACAGTTAAAATGTACAGTATTAGGTTAAATTAAATTATTTGTATTTTTGTAGTTTATATGCAGAAATTAAATGCTTTCATATAGGGCTTTAATGTTATTCTGGTTTAAAAAAAGCTAAAGAAAACCCAAACCAACAGCCTAACTGACAAAGCTATATGTGTTCGGGGAAAAAAAAATTAAAACCCAACAACGCAGCTTCTCCACCAGGTAAAGCCTCTGCGGGACCATTCTGGCCACATGGAATTACTTCCTATAACTGAGAGGCAGGTTTTACTTGCAGGGAAGGGAGCAAGCCCGCTGAGTCTCACCCACCGTGAGTGACAATGGCACCCGTTGCATACCCCGTCCCTTGGCCGCGGGGTGCCTGCCCTGCCCGCTGCTGGTCCTGCCAACCATACCAGATCCACCACCGCCACCGACCTGGTAGGGTTATCAAGGGTCTCACCACTTTATTTCTTTTTATTCTGTTCACATTTAATACCACGGACACAGCTGAGATGTGGAACACTTCACGTGACGCTAGGTGTGCGACCAGTGCGTTTACACAGACGTGATATTGGTGAGCTTGCTTCTTCACAACCTTTTGAAGGTTCTCAAATCTCTTGTTTCCCTGAGTTGCAGGACATCTGCCGTCAGATCCGTTTGCCGGTCGAGAGAACAAGGCAGATGGGGTTAGAGACGGAACGGGAGATCATCCTACAGCGCTGCTGCTGCTCGTTTGTCCCTTCGTTTATTAGGTTGGCGTACATCGTGCTCGCTGTGAGCGCTGGAGCGGGGAGCAGTGCAGGCTCAGGTGCGACGGCGAGGAGCAGCCATCAGCCCCATGGCCCTAGCGAAGCGCTGCATGATATAAAAGACACAGTATGTACAGAAAAGGCCAAATTTTCCTTTGAGTTATACCTGAGCAGCACCGTCAGCTAAAGGTGTTAACAGGTGTAAAATGGCCCATCAGCGTTAACCGGAGTTCGAAGGCAGCAGGACTTTTGCTAACAGACAATTCATGATGGAGAATCAGTTGTGGACCAGCCAGTAATAAATACTAGAACAAAATAAATAGAAAGCTGCCATTGCACATGCAGGCTCCAAAGCTCTGTTAGCTGGACCACAAAATCTACACGTTGGTGTGACAACAGATGCAATCTAAGACAAAAGGATGGAAAGTTTTCTGGTTTGCCTTTAAATGGCATACTTGAGTTATAAAAATGCATTGAATTTAAGATTTTTATGGATCAAGTATGAGAATGTGTCTGCCTGTGTCTTTTAATGCAGATTTTTCTATTTGTCAGGTCACGTTGGTGAAAAAATGTTCTTAATTTAATTCTGCAGCAAACTAGTACAACTGCACACTGGGCTTTATGGGGGGACGTGGTACTGGGAACCAGCTGATAGGCTTTAAACAGAAATAAGTGCTGGTTTACAGGCAGGAGGTTTGTCCTCAGCAAACTTTGGGGGTACAGTGGTGCACAGCACAGGGACAGGGAGCCACAGACTCATTACAAATATCAAGACAACTAAAAGCTTCCAGGTTCAAACACATCGAGTCGTTCACAGTCAAGTTGAGCAGAACAAGTACAGATGATTTGGCTAGGAAAAAAAAAAAACCATTACTTTGGTGGGAGATTGCATTCCGTATTTTTATAGCATCACTGCAGTCCTGAAGTCAGCACTGTCCTTGTCCCACTGATACATATTTTAAAAAAGTATTTCGGTACAGTCATGTTCTAAGCCACTTCTGTGAAGGTACTTTTTTTTTTCTACTCGGACATGACATGAAGATCATTTATTTTTAGCATGTTTAAAATTTATCCATTTTCTTTCTCCTTTTTTAAGAAATCATTTTCCTCATTCAGAGAAAAATGTTAGTTTATTTAAAAATTGAGATCCTGAAAAGCGTATCAAATTCCAGATTTCCAAATTCCAAAAAGGCAATTCAATTTTCTCTCTCTAGGGTCTAGTTATACGCTAGTGAAATTCTTAGCCAAAGTAAACTCTGGAAAAATTCAGCTGGTATTAGCTGCTGCTGAAGCCACACAAACTCTCAAGTGAACTGGGCGACATTTGCCTGTTCAGAACAGCAAAGCTGAAGTCAGTGTTAAAAAATCGTATGGGCAAAAGCAGCAGAAAAATAATACTTGAGTGTTGCCAAATTCTGTGACCATGTATCTCCTTTTACAGCCTCGAAGTTTGTGTTTGTTGTTTTCTTTTTTTAAATCTTTACCTGCCTACATTACATCTTTCAGCAATTCCCGATGATGCCAAAAGTCCAGCTTTAACGTTGCGATTTCTGCGTCGTGCCCTCTTTCTCTTTCCTTATGGCTTTCTGGGAAATACGGGTGAGCGATGCTGCGGCGCCGGGAATCGCGTGTCATGTGATGACGCTCGGTTCTGTCCAAACTCGCGAACTTTCCTGCTTCGTGCTGGAGAGTCTTTTCTTTGGAAGGGGTTTGAGTCCAAAAAGCCGGCAAGCGGCCACTCGGTACTTCTTCGACATGATGTTGTAGAGGATGGGGTTGATGGCTGCGCTAAGGTAGAAGAGGACAAAGGACACCAAGTTGCAGTACTGGCTGATCACTGCTATCTCCAAGGATCCAGCTTCAAAGGATTTGGAAAATAAGTATCGTCCTACGTGAAAAGGCAACCAGCAGAGTATGAAAGCAAATACCACCACAACTAAAACAAAAACAGCAGAAGAAACAGCGTTAAGTATGAGTATTAAAAGCAGGGTGATTAAAAATCTATTTTAAAGTTCTGTTTCTTTACAAATTAATCACAAAGTGTGAAAATGCATCCCGTAAGTTTTCATTTTTGTATCTCTCAATACATTCTCTGAGAGCATAAATCAGCAATACTTAATGCACGTTGATCATACCTGAACAGGCTGCCTGTACGCTGCACAGCTAATCCGATGTAGCATACTTCTGACCTATAAAACTTACATTTTTGCAAATAGAGAATTAAAGAAAATGGTGACACCAAAGGTATAACAATCTATTATCTGCAGTGTTTAACAAAAGCAGATTATATATAATGCAATAGACTCGACACTGTGGTTTATAATGAAGAATGTAGTCACTGGGAAGCAAAATTATTTAAGATGAAGCAAAATTACTGAAGGCAAAGCAAAATTATTTAAGGCAAAGGCCCAAAAATAAAACAAACCACCAGAACGTGGACTTGTAAGGCACTGGTGCCAAGGTAAGAACAGAAGAGTACTGCACTTCTCTAGTTTGTCTGTTTTTTGGAACATGAGTTACTCCAAGAAGAATAAAACTAAATATGTAATATATAACTGCATAGTTATACAGTATATCTGTAATATTATACTATCACTACAATTGCCTTTATATGTAAATATAATGTATGTGGAATAATAGGAATGTGTTTATCTTTGAATACTGGCCCGTTGGAATTTCCATCCTAGAGAAAGGGAAACTTTTTCTGTTCATTTGCTGTGTGCTATTGACCTTTATTACTTTTCATATTGCTTTGAGTGTATCTAGCAATATACCAGAGGCAGGAAAACTAGACAACTCGAGGAAGGTTTTTTGACATTCTTAAGCAGTTTTTACCAGTTAAGTTGTTCTCTTGTGCTAGCAGTCCTGCTTTCTCATGTCAAGTCACAGCAGATAATAAAATTCAAAGAGCTAAGAGGGATGATTATAGGTATCTTTCTCCAAAAACTTTCTGAACAAGCATTCTCAAATTTAGATGGATACTTATACAGGACTTATGGTGGACTCTAAAGCACAAAGCTGAGGTTCAGAGTATGTTTTCCAGCTCTGCATCATCTTGAGCCAACCACTTCCATTTTTTTTAACTCTGTATCTTCACCTACAAAATTCAGATAATGTTTCCCTAGCTCACAAGTGGAGTTTAATTCATGTAATGAATATTACCACGATGGCCATTACAAACAGAATTTTAAGCATAGTCAATATTTTCATGCGTAGGGATGCATTTTCCTAGTCAGGCTTTTGACAGTTTGATCTTCATGCATGCAGGATCACAATGACTTCAATAGCAGCAGGGTATGATAGCTCCTTTGCAAGTCAGGCTATACGTTTAGGTGTTTAATTACGGACCTAGAAGCATAACCTTTCTCTATAATTTAAAAGAAGTGATGATGATAATCCTGTTAACTTAATGTTCCATGACTTACTGAAGTCTTAGAAAGTGCCTTCTAAATTTTAAGCAGAACATTAAAAACAGAGAGAGCAGACTGCAGTGAGCATCTGCTGGTACTGAGCCCTTACTAGCTTCTTTTCTTTCCTTCTTTCCATCAGACTGTTATCATTTAGAGAATATTGGCTCTCTGTCAGAGGTCAGTCTTGCCACTGTCTTGGTGTTCTCAGACCTTATAAAAAAAAAAAGGTGTCTGAAATATTGCAATGCTTGCGGCAATACTCCAGGGCAGAAATAAATAGCTATTATTTCAAAATTCTTTATGGTTAAGTATACAGAAATATAAACATCGGAGTAATATATGCCAGCAATTTACTTATCCTAAGTAGAGATTCATAATCCTGAAACTCTAGAAGTGTAAATGATGAATTACTTCCAAGGTCACGCTTACCAGACTGAAGTAATTCTATTGATCATAAAATGTAGCTGGAAGGGCACAAAGAATGCCGTGGGTTTTATTATTCTTCCTGCTGTTGCATAGTAATCGAGTAGGACACGAACAAAAAAAACCCGTTAGGCTCCCATTTAATAATTAAGGTACTTAGGACACAGTGCCACCTCTTCGTCTAGCTCATTAGCCCATCACTTCAACCGAGCTGAAACGAGCACAGCAGAGCTGCTGCCCATGAGACCTTCGTCATGCAAAGCATCTCATCCCCACTGAAATCCACGGGGTGACTCGCACTGCGGAGGACTTTTTGCTTGAATAAAAGTAGGCAGCAGCAGCAGCAGGAGGATTCTGCAGTTTTCAGACGCTAAACTGAAGAACTTTTTGGTTTTGTGCATCAGTCTCCCGCCACATGCACTGACTTAGTAGGTTAAAATCTGTGTTTCTGTGTGCCAACAATAACAGTTGTTCAAACCACTCACTTTGTAAATAGACAAAATTAGGAATGACAGTGTCTATTGTCTTGATCCTGTTCTCTTAAAGTCAGTGAGAATTTACAGGATCACAGAGTCAAAGGAGCCACAATGCTCCCAGTTTAGCACATCCTGATGTTTTGCTAATATACAAACGCAGATTAATTTTTATAAGCTTACACAGCCATGCTAGTAAATAACCTGAATTTGCTAAAACCTTGATACTCTTCTCATAGAAAACTAAGTGCCCAACATATCCTGCTTGCCTAGTCTGCAGCTCAACTTTGTGGTTTGAGAAGGGTTTAGTTTTGTTTAAAAAAAACAAATAAACTATCCTTCTGTAAATAACATCGGTATCCATAACCAAAGAGCAAAAATGTTCAAAATTCTCCAGGGCACTAGCTAATTGTAACTGTAGTATTTGTCCTTGTCGGTGATTGTTATTAACATTTATTTAACTGTTTGAGAGTCCCCAGCTCAAACCAGTTAGAAATAAATGTAAGGAAGGAGGAGAGTTACTCTACAAATACCCTGAGGTGTAGCCCTTTGTAAGAAACATGTTCAATGTTCAACCACCAGTGCACTCTCGGTCTTTCTCTCTCTCACACACACACAAGCACAGGCATCCTTTGGAAAAACAGAGCAAGAAGAGTCGTACCTAACATCTTCACAGTTTGTTTGTTGTTCTTATCCCTGATGACAGCGTTTGGACCGATGTTCTTTCGCTTTCTCCTCCAGAGCTTCCTCCCGATGAGGCTGTACAGCACTGTCAGGCAAAACACGGGCAGGAAAAAGAAGATGCTGGAGGTCCAGACCATGATGGTGAGGAGCCCCGAGCGGATGGCATACTCCGTGGCTCGGCACTCGTTGGTGCTCAGGGGATTCGTGCCATTCTCATGCTCGACCCCCACCAAGACGAAGATGGGTCCGGCGCTGATGAAGGAGACGGCCCAGAGGAAGAGGATGACCAGCTTGACCTTCCCCTTGGTGATGATCACTTTAGCTCGGAGGGGGAAGCAGACGGCGACGTACCGCTCCACGCTGAGGGCGGTGATGTTGAGGATGGTGGAGTAGGTGCAGCTCTCGCTGATGAACTGGAAGAGCTTGCAGAGGAGGTCCCCGAAGTTCCAGGGCCGGTACTGCCAGAGGCGGAAGAGATCCAGGGGCATGCAGAGGAAGATGAGCAGGTCGGAGAAGGCCATGCTGGACAGGTAGAAGTTGGTGGTGGTCCTCATGTCCCGGAACCGCGACACCACCAGCATGGTCATGAGGTTGCCGATGATCCCGATGACGAAGAGGAGGACGCAGGCGACGGTGATGCCGGTGAGCACGGGCGCGGGGAAAAGGTGCAGCGGGGGC